TTTGGGACCGTCACGTAAAATGGGAAAGAATGGATTTTATTTAAGCTTACCTTAACGTACCCAACCATTTCCAGCTTGGTACAAGATCGGCAGCTTTCACCACCACCACCGTGCCAGGAGAGACAGCATGTTGCAAGTGAGGCGGTCGGGCTCCTTGTTCAGACCTGGCCAGTCTGGAAGGAGTGGGAGAGGGGCTCACAGGCCCCCCCGGGTGGGCAGACTTGCAAGGGACCTCCCAGGTGCCCTGCCCTGTGTTGGCCGCTGTCCTGTGACCTGGTGTTCTGGCCTGCTGGAAAGTGACCCTCCTGAGAAGAGCACCATGTACGCTAGGTCCAGGGGTCAGGGTGGGGGGGCCCAGGGCCCAGGCAGGGCCAGCGAGGCTGCGGGTCAGCTGCAAATGAGTGGCAGGACTCCGCCTGTCTGCCCGGAGCTGTGCTGGCTGGGCGGGTGGGCAGCAAGCAGGTGTCAGGAACCTGTGTGTGCCCAACCCCTGGGCAGCTGGAGGCCAGTCCTGTGCTGGAACCATGGGACTGGCATGTGGGGATTACCTACCAGCAAAGGAGAAGCTGTGTGTGCGTGCGTGTGTGTGTTTGTGCACGTGTGCATGTGTGTGCATGCGTGTGCGTTCGTATGCGTGTGCATGCGTGCATGTGTGTTCATGCGTGTGTGCGTGTACGCGCATGTGTGCGTGTGCACGCGTGTGTGTTCGTGCGTGTGCGTGTGTGCGTGTGCGTGTGTGTGTGCGTGTGCGTGCGTGTGTGTGTGCGTGCGTGTGTGTGTTTGTGCATGTGTGCATGCGTGTGCATGCGTGCGTGCGCGTGCGTGCATGTGTGTGTGCGTGTGCGTGCGTGCTCGTGCGTGTGTGCATGCGTGTGTGTGCGTGTGTGCATGTGTGTTCGTGCGTGTGCGTGTGTGTGCGTGTGTGTGTGCACGCATGTGCGTGTGCGTGCATGTACGCACGCGTGTGTTCGTGCGTGTGTGTGCGCGTGCGTGTGTGTGTGCGTGTGTGTGTGTGTGCGTGCACTCTCTCGAGCGCCTCCCCGGTAGCCCCTGTGGGAGCCTAGGGCAGGCGGCCTCGACACTCACCTCTGGCGAAATGAAGAGGGTGCAGTCCATGCTGCCCAGCCAGTCCTTGTGCCAGGTCTTGGTCTTTCCACCTGTCCAGGAGGGGCGGTCACCCCCTCTCTGGACCTCAGTTTCCCCATCTTTAAAGGCCGGGCCTTCGGCTCCCCCCCCC